AAATATATAGGAACCAAAGGTGGGAATGGAAGGGGCACGAAAGGCAAAATGAGAAATGGAATTCCTGAGGAAAGAACGGCTGAAAGCAGTAGTTCTGTGTTTAGGAGGATAGAGATCAGAAATGAAGGTAGTGTACCGAAAACCTAAAGGTTAGGAGATCATATAAGGAGAGGAGTGGGAAGATATTGCTTGATAAAGGAAGGACAGTCACTAGGAAGGGTATAACTACTTCAAACCAAAGTACATATAGTCACGTGGGACCTCCTTGGGGATCCAAAAAGAAAGTGTACAAAACAATTTATTAATGCGCTTAAGTCTATCATCCAGCAACCTGAATCAGCAGTGAGTCTACCGTACTGAACACATCCATAGTCAAACTGGGGGTGAATAAGAGAGAAGATGTTTATGGGTACTAATGTGGAGAAACGGGTAAAAAAGCAGCGGCGGAAAATCTTGGAAATATTAGGTTTTCGCGATAAGATCGAGTCAAGTACAATCCCAACGTTCTTGACAGTAGGACAGAAAGAAATAGGATGACTGTAATGTAAGGATCGGAGGAGAGAACGAGACCCAAACACCATGGCCTTAGACCTTTCTAAATTAAGTTCAAGCCCATTTTTAGTGGCCCAGAAGCTGATTCTAAGTCTGATGATAAGTCTTCCTGAATTTTTACAATTGCAGGTTGAAAGTCAGCAAGCGGAAAATAAAGTTAAATTTGGGAGACGTCTGCATACAAATGGTGGGAGCAATATTTTGAGAAAGTCAAGGAATTAGAACAGTTAATGAAGCAAAAAAAGAGAAGCAGAAATAATTGATCCTTGAGGGAACCCAGATGTGATGCGCAGGGTACAGGGTGAGGCTCATCTGTGATGGGTACTACTTGGAAACGATCTGAAATGATAGGAACCACTGGAGAACACTGAGGAAGAACGTTTTGAACTTAGCAAGAAGAAGAGAAAGATCTACTGAATCAAAGGCTTCAGAGAAGACCAGGAGAACAAGAATTGTAATTTTACCTTGGTAAGTCTGTATGTGAAATTTTTTTGAAGAGCGGATTGCGTGGAAAAACCAGGACGAAAACCAGAATGGGAGAGGACAAGGAGATCTGAGGTTTCTAAGTAAGAATACATTTGTAAATGAACTATTTATAGAAAAGATAAATGGTGGAATGTGTGTGTTGTTCAATCTTTTTAAAAAGATAGATCCTACTTACAGTAAGTTGTTTTCAACGATCCTGATTTCGAGCATACAGCTCATCATCAGGTTGGACATCATCAGTAAGTCTTACAATTCATGTGGAGGGACGGGGTTGTCTTGTAGAGCTCTTTCAACCTAATGATGAGCTATAGGCTCGAAATCCGTATCGTTGAAAACAACTTACTGTGAGTTTTTTTTAAAAAAGAATGAACTATTTTTTCAAGAGGTTTAGTGAAGTTAGAGAGAATAGATAGCGGACGGAAACCTTGACGATGATTCAAGGCCTGCTTTCATGATTTAAAAAAATGAGTTTATTAATGAAAATATTTTAAATATATAGAAGGACAAGATGGATAAACGTGAGACATACTTTGATGGTTTTTCAGATATCCGACAATTTTAAAGAATGCAGTTCAATGGTCTTCTGCTTTTAATTAGCTTTATATAAAAATACTAATAAAAGAAAGACAGACGTCTTTAATAAATCTCAAGACTATTGGCGACAATACATAAGTCACGGTAGCAGAATAAATACAAAATTGGTTCTTCAGTGGAAAAGAAATTGTAAAAGATGTATGAGGAAAAATTCCTCGCCACGGCATAGTCATTAAAGCCCATTTATTGAAATGTTTTAGTGCAAGGGGTTAGTCTAAATATTTGAAAAGGTGAAAGGTTCGGGGAGAAAGGAGGAGGATGAGGTAGAGAGTTTACAACACCAATATTTTTCCAGTATAATGCACGTCCCCTTTCCCATTCTCCATCCAAGGGCTACATTACCGATTATTTTTCTGCTCATCTCTTCGATTTCTCTCCACTCGAAGCCAAAAAAAAATCCTTTAAATTTTTATAGACAAAAATGATCGTTCACAATTTTTCACGTATAGGATGGTTTGCTATGAGATACAAACAAAAACATTGGGGAATGGTTGGCTGTAAATGGAATAGAATGCCGTGGAAATAGGTTTTCTAACAGGCGATGGGAATTAAAGGGGCACGGCAGAGTGAGGAATGAAACTGAGAGGCTGGATGATTGGTTGAGGAAGGAACAGCTGAAAGTAGTAGTTCTGTGTTTAGGCGTGACATATAAAACCCCCTCTCACTAGCACCTACTGTTCTCATTGAATGACTATGGCGTTAGTGGAAAAGATTAGTGGTGTTTATCCATTTGAAAAACTCCTCATGAAACACATACATCCCATCCAATGCCATGCTTTCAATTCAGGTCCAGCTTTCCTAGACGTGAGGCAAGCCTTTAGTTAGGTGTGGCACTATGGTTTGCTCTAGAAACTCAACTTAAACTTATTACTTCATCATCATAGCCTTTATGTCCGATAGATTACTTTACGTACGAATCATCCTTCTTCCCAACCAATAAAACAAAGTGAGCGTTTCGCAAGGCGGCATACTTGGTCCTGTTCTATTCTTTAGATGCCTATGGATTGTCGATTCCTATCCTTAGCAAACCCAGGCCCAGTCGTGGCTTTTAGAAATCTCTTTAGGAAACGAAACTAAATCCTAGGAAATAATTTTCACCATGATGTCCAGCAAAAAAAAGGCTTTTTCCAATAGCTATGCATTTTGCATTAAAATAGAGGTCGTTTTTAAAAACTAAGGTTAAATTTGCTAGATACCGATTATACCTTCGATACCATCAACCTAACAGCAAACGCAGACTCAACAGTGGCATCCTGAAAGCTTCAGGTTCATCTCTCCTGTTTGAAGGAATTGTTCAAGAAATGAAGGTTCAGAGGCAACGAAACTAAATCCTAGGAAATAGTCTTCACCGTGGTGTCTAGCAAAAAAAAAGACTTTTTACAATAGCTAATTTCATCAAAATATAGGTTAGGGTTTTTAAAAACTAGGTTCAATTTGCTAGATACAGATTGGTACCTATGTTACCACCATCCTTACGCCATACCCATATCCATTAGTGGACTTCTAAAACCTTCAGGTGCCTTTCTCCTGTTTGGAGGAACGGTTCAAGAAATAAAGGATCCGACTTAACGAAACCAAATCACAGTAACTAGTTTTCACCCTTCGCCATTCAGATCCAAAGTAAAACAACTGTTTTCCTCTCCCAGCAACCAATTTTGTCCAGTATTTGGGTTTTACATCCACAAAAGACTTACTTGGAAGCTTTGAACGTACAGTCAAGTTAAAAGAATAGAACTGCACTGAAAAAAAAACTGCTGAAATGACTACTTGACAACAGATGAAAATTCTCATTAGAAAACAAACGCTTCATCTACACATCATTACTACATCGAATCGGGGCGTACGGTTTTAAACTATGAGACTCAACCAAGCGTTCCAATCTCCAAAGAATCGAGCCACTCCAGTCTTACTATTTACACAGACCTTGAGCTTTGACTGCTTTCGTCCATGAAGTATCCTCAGGATATGGTTTACTTGACCCACCCTTCATTCAATCACCGATGATTTCTTTGGCCTACTTAAGAAAACAGCTTGTGCTTTAGAAGGTTCTATGAGCTACAACATTATTGTGCGTAGGGACACCAAAGGGTGCGACTGGTTGCAGGAATAATGAAAGAAGCCAAAGCTTGAGAAAGGGTTCCACCTTTTGGTCACTGTGTTCCCTTAAGGAAACCGGATCCCCTTCACCTTTTCCGCTTGCGCCTTATACCCCGGGTCATTTCTGTTTATCATCAGTTCATCATCACCGACATTATTTATTAAGGGAAGAGGCAATCGACCATTGACGGCTTCAAGCCTTCCCCTTTTATGGATGGTTCCGAGGTTCATAGGTTCGCTGGAGTGTGCCCACTCAACAGCAGAAAGTCCTCCCGCGCTAGACTATATTTGCTACTTTTCATACGATAGGCCATCGCGTTGCCTCCTTTAATCACCTTTTTATTAACCGTTGAGGTAGCTTAGGAACGGGAGAAGTATATGTAAGTGGTCCGTGGCACTTCACTTCACCGTTCCTCGGGGACGACGTAGGCTGACCTTCGCATTCTCGCAGGCAGCATGCTTTCTGCCATAGTCTTGCGAGGAGATATAATGAACCCGATGTCGGTGGGTGATCCACCCAGTTAGAAGGACAGTCTAGTCATGAAAGATGCATTCGGGGGCAGAAACAAGCCGAATAGAGTCGACTGTCGAGGAGTGTTGTGACTGTAAGAAGAGTGCTCTCCAGTGTCCAGGAAGAAGCGGAAAGAATAAACTGGAAGTGGCTGAAAGATGAAACTGGTGTTTGCTAGTGTCGTTTAGTGCAAATTCTTTTTGTAAATAAACACCCCTAGAGATAGCGCTATGGCTGACTCATTTATCATTAGTTCTACGTAAATTTGAGACGGTACTGAAAAGTGTATATTATCTCCCTGGTCTTTTGTGTTTTTAAATCTAACCTCCTTCGATACAAAAAGTAATTAAATACGTTATGTCCTGGCATAGCTCAGCGATAGGGTGTAGCTTCCGCGCCATTTACAGCGCCAATGGCATCACGATTTCTTCCATAGAAAAAAAAGTGAGGGGTGTAATCAATTAGGTACTTGTAGCATCAAGTCATCTATTGAATTAATTCATGCCAACTGATAACATTTTCGCCGGAATTCTATAATTCATAACGATAACTAAGGTTTTTGGTTTATTTTTCCCTTCTAATAGCTAAATAATGTAATATTAATCTGAAAGCATGTAACATCACTAGCTGGATGTATAATATAAAATATATAAAAAAGTTTAAAAAATACATTGTTCTCGCAAGATATGTTTTTCGTCGTGTTTTATTTGTTGTTTTGTTTTGGAAAAGTAGTCCTTTACGTAAGGACTTGACAGCCTTGGGCGTTAGGAATCTTTAGTAGGATATGCGCGCTCAGTCGGTGTCCACCAGAGAGGAGAAAATGTCCGTTTTGAGTGAAAACGACAGGGCCGTTCTTAATTCCATTTTCAACCCTTTGCTTCCCCTTGGAGAAGGAGTTTACTCGGAGGATTTAACGGAACTTGTTGAAGGTAAATTATCAGCATATACGAATACTTATGGAAATATTATTTTCAGAAAGGTCGGTTTTTCGTAAATCATAAAATATCCTACCATCCAACTAAAACATAACAAATTCCTCCAAAAATAAACAAAATCTTAAATGTTATTAAATTACATTTAAATATATTGGCAATTCACTTGCCTATAGTCATAATTTAGTTCGCTGAAAAAATGTTACCCTAGAATGTTTATGTATTCGATTTTTATGACTCTTTTGTCACTTTTTTATGATTATCAGTTTACAACCATAACTTAGGAGGGGTATTTTTTTTTACTAAACCAAGCACTTTACTCGGTGCCACTTCGCGCTGAAAATTACCTTATCAAAGTGGCTAGTGCTTCAATTTAACAAAGGATGATGTCTCTGGTTTCCTCTGACTCTGCTTCGCTCATCTTTTTTAGGTGGTAGTTAAGAAGCCTACAATTTTTCTCAAATCTTGTTTGCTGAAAGAGCAAAACACCTTCATCTTCCTTTTTGGGAAATTTGCAAACTTTTTTAGTTTGCTCTCATACCTGGTGCTCTCGTCTATAGCATTTTTTAAGGATTTGAGGGGTTGAAAAAAATATTAAAAATCATTTCCTCCACTATAACCTATATAGGTCTATTGTGTAACCTTTATAAATTATAACCATACTTTGGAAATTGTACTTTTTCTTGTAAGTCTAAGCACTTTCCTCGGTGCTTCTGTAGTCGTGAGAATTGCCTTACGGAAGACTTGTACCGTAATCAGAATAATGCTCAGGATGTGTGTCGATGTCTCTGGTTTTTATTGACAGAGTCGGATTGTTTTTGTCTCTTCTTTCCCCATCTTCTTTATGTGGTAGTTAAGAGGGCACTGGTTGGTATAGAGGCTTTCAATTTTCCTCAAATCCAGTCCGCTGAGAGGAGATTCTTCGCCTTCCTTTTGGAGAGATTAAAACATTTCTTAGCTTGCCTCATACCTTGTACTTTTGTCAAGTTGAGTTTTTCTTTCTCAAGACATTTTTCCCGTTACAATTTAAGCACACACTCCTGTGTACCTGTGGGTTTGGTCCCATGGGTGAGAGGGGCTACCCTTTTTGGCTAGTTGGTCAGCCTGTTTATTCCTTTTTAACCTTCATATCCGGGAACCCTTTAAGGTAATCTTGCTGTGTTGTCCTAGAATCTTTAGGCAAGAGGCACTCTCAGACAAGTTTAGACTTGAAATTATACGCGTTTAGTGCCTGTATATCTGCCTGATTATCTGAGAGTAGCTTCAGCTTGGAAAATGAGTTTAGTTGAAAGGGCTTTGCTAAGATATAGTTCGGCCCTTTTACCCATAAACTACACACTTAGTTTGCTTCATGTCTGCTTTCTTCTGTATGATTCTGGCATGCCTAGTTGTATATCTTTTTTGGCTTGTTCGTACTCTGTTAGTTTCCTTCTATATCTTCATGTCCGGGGACCCACTTCAAGGTAACCGAGTTGTGTTCTCCTGGAGCCAACAGGCAATTTAGGCATTCGCAGACTAGGTTGGAGCTAAAACCATACGCATTTACTGCCCTTGACTGTCAGAAATGAAATCTGTGCAACTTTTATATTCTCTTTGTCTATTACTGTGCACAGAGTTTGAAGGCATGGACCTTAGCTTGCAAGATACTTGGAAACATATTTGCTAGCGTATACCACTACACATACTTTAAATCTTGTTCTGTTAGATCGGTGACATATTAGGGCACATCCTGAAACTTGAGGTTACCTATCTTCCAAAAATCTTATATAACACACATGAAAGGGTCTGTTAAAGTTCAGTTTTTCTCTAATTTCGTCAGGTTCCGTTATAGCAATCTCATTTATTTTAATTCTCTTTAGAATTTTCCAATGGCTTTTCCTTGGATCTGTTTTTCTTTCTTTTTATCTCATGGGTCTGCCACCATTTGACATACGCTTTTTAGATTTTGCAGTGTGTTTCGAGTCTGTTTATGCATTGTTTCTGTCAATCATACTAGAGCTCTATAAGTGACCTTAACCATCCCTAATTAATACATCTTATCTAACTGAATAAATAAATTCTTTCAATTAATTAATCTTTCTGTAAGGTATTAGTTGAAATGAAATGTCACGGGTGGGATTCGAACCCACGACCTTCGGCTCAATACACCGCTGCTCTAATTACTTGAGCTATCGTGACTTCGATCTACTCGGACACCAACTTCCCATCTCAACCTACCTTTCGTATTTTGAGAAGGTTGAAATGAAAAAGTTAGTGTAACGAGCGGGATTCGAACCCACGACCTTCGGCTCAATACGACGCTGCTCTAACCACTTGTCACGACAGGTCATGTCGTTAAAGCAGCGGCGTATTGAGCCGAAGGTCGTGGGTTCGAAACCCCTCTCGTTTCACTAACTTTTTCATTTCAATCAATATCTTACATAAAGATTAATTAATTAAAAGAAGTTATTTTGTCAATCGGTTCAGGAAATATAATGGATTGAATAAATAATTTTTTTTGCCAGAGTTTGATAAAGGTGTATTTGTAAAGTCCAGATTTGTTATTATTTTTTTTTTAAATGTTACCAGTGACGAGAGTTTTTGATATTGGAATTGCTCCAACAAACATGATCAGAAACCTGTTTTAGCCAGTTAAGGAAATAATAGACATTTCCTTGAGCACTTGGAATTGCAAAAATCCTCTTTTATTTTGTAATTGGGACGTTTCGTTTAAGTGACTTCTCTTTAGCATGTGAAGGGATGCAGTTTAACTTTTACAATTTAAAATATTAATAGCAAAACAATCGGCCAAGTAGCACGTCAAAATTGTACATGAAGTTACATTTCATAAGGAAAGATCTAATCTACGAAATACTCTTTCGTACATACTCCGCAATTCCAGTAGTTTCAACTTGATCGGTTTATCTAGATGGAAAAATATTACTTTCGAACTGTTTTATATTTGTACATGTCGTAAATTTTCAATTTCGTCTCGCCTTGATCGATTTTTTTTTCAAACGTTCGCTATATTTCATTTTGCAGATGTAGAATCTGAAAACTCGGATCCTGAAGTGAAGGAGTTGGAAAAGCAAGGGGTCCTGAAAGCAGAAGAAGGAAAATTCCTCGAAGCAGTCGATATATTTTCACAAGTCATTTTGAAAGCGCAGACAGCCTCTGCTTATAACAACAGAGCACAGGCGTACAGGCTGCTTGGCAAAGATAAAGGTATACAAAATGTCTAATATCTTGTCATTCTCATGTTCCAAATGTATCTACGAGATATTTTCGCAAATTAATATTTTATGATGGTATATTTTATGCATTTCTCAAATCAGAAAACTTTTTCCTTGAGGTTGAGGACAGCAGGACCTAGACTGCTCTTTACTACTCTCCCTCCTTACACCCCTCACTCCATCGAGGTCAAAAATTTATAAACAGTCATCACCCATTAAAAAAAATTCTACGGTTTTGATCTTATAACTACAAACATCCTGCGAAATCTTCCTAAAAAAAGCTATAATTTTCCTTACAACAGAACTACCTGTTCTCATCCAAAAATTGAAATGATTCATTATAAGACCCATTTCGAATCCCCATAAACCTAAGGACCTCCCTACGCATGCCGCCCCATCAGCTTACTGCCATTACTTGGCAAAATCCTTGGTAAACTACTCATAAAACACATCCTTGAAAGTCCTAGGAACATTCCATTTCAACTACTTGACGTTGGCAACACTTGCTCCAACACCTACTTTTCAAGCCGTTGGTGGAACAGATTGGTGGTGTACATCTACTTCTTCTCCAGAAACACCTATATCCCAACCTTGAAAGCTCCTGTGTCATCCCTTCAATTCTACCCCAGGTATCAATCTATCAGTCAACAATGGCACTGGGTGGTTGGCATAATCCCATCCTCTCTTTAAGACAAAAATGCCGATCGGGTGCTTTCCTAGACGAGAGGCAAACTTCGATCAGGTGTGGTGCGCGGCTTGCTTTGAAAACTCAAGGGCAACCTTCCATTCAGCAGACCCTAAAATTCTATCTGTCCAGAACATCATGAGACACCGATAACCCAGACTTGAAAGTTCAAATGCCATTCCATTCCAATAATTCAGGTTCAGAAGAAATCACTCTAACATTCAACAATGCCACAGGGTTGTAGACATCAGGGTATCTTTTCTTGAGCAGACGTAATGCTGCCCGGGTGCTTTATAAAACAAGATTCAAGCCTTCGATCGAGTGTAGCACTCGGGACTGTTCTTAAAACCTTAAAAGAGTCTTCCCTTTAACATACTTGAAGTTGCCATAGAAAAACCACTTGTTAATGTCACCTACTTTTAATGTTGGATGTCTAAGCCGTGGAAAAGATTGATAGATGGAGTCTATCTACTTAAAACTCTTCTCCTAAAACACCTATATCCCAACCTTGAAAGCTCCAGGGTCATCCATTCAATTCTTCCCTAGGTATCAATCTATCATTCAACAATGCCACTGGGTGGTAGACATCATCGCATCTTCTCGTGAAGGGAAAAAATGTCGGTCGGGTGCTTTCCTATACGAGGGGCAAGCTTTCGATCCGGTGTGGCAACCCATCTTGCTCTGCAAACTCAACTTCGAGCACTTATTACTTTATCTTATCTGTCCGGTAGATAATTTTACGTACGAATCATCCCCTCCATCCACTAGGCCAAAGTGGGCCTTCCACAAGGCAGCATTCTCGGGCCCATTCTGTATTCAGTATACACTGTAGACATCCCTTTCAATCCAGACCCAAACGGCCTTCAGAAATCTCCATAACTATCTCTCCTGTTTAGAAAAATGGTTCAAAAATTGGAGGATCAGACTCAACGAAATCAAATCCCATCAAATAAATACACCCTTCGCCGTACTCTCCTCTACTCTACTTCAACTCTGTTCCTCTCCCTACACCAAAGTCGTCCGTTTTTGGGACTTTACATCGACTTGGAAACCCCACACCTGACTTAAAAGAATAGAAATAAACTAATAAAAACTACCCATAGGACTATAAAACAGACCCCTCGTTCCAACCTCCAACATAATTAATCACTCCAGTTAAAAATCCTTCGACTAACGCCCAAACTTAAAGCGTATCAAAACTTAATATCCGCACAGACCTCCATATCCAATTTATCCTCGACCTTATTCCAACACTTTCCGTCTGATCCGGCTCAAGTACGGAACTTGAAGTGTTTTGTTACGAGCGTAACCACGAGGTACCTCCACTTCTGTATCTGATGAGTGCTTTGCTTTGCAGTCATAATTACATTTATGTACCTTGATCATTAATGTTTCGAATAGTCTAATAATGTTAACATAGGTGGCAAATTCTTATTTGAATTTCTTGAAACCAACCAGTGTTCATTTTGATTGTTAAGGGGAAACTTTTAATAAAAATATGGTATTAGTAAGTTGCCTTGTTCACAATATAAGAGGAAGTTAATAAAACTATGAATTTAATCAAATTAATATTTTGGACTAATTATTTATTCCTTCGATATTTTAGAGGCGATGGATGATTTGAACAAATCTTTAGAAATTTGTCAAAGCAAAGGGAGATCTGGATGCAACGCTCTCTGTCAGAGAGGTCTATTGCATAGGAAATGTTCTAGGATCGAACAGGCGAAAAGGGACTTTGAGGCAGCCAGCCGGCTAGGAAGTCATTTTGCAAAGCAGCAGGTAATTTAAACTGATGTTTGATTGTGTCATTGTAAGCTCATAATTTGTTTTCTATGATTTTCAGCTGGTCGAAATGAATCCATACGCTGCAATGTGCAACCAAATGTTGAACGAAATGATGTCCAAGCTTTCCAGGGCCGAGATGGTCCATAACGGACACGGAAACTAATTTTCATACAAAGGCTGTCAATTAAATTATTCATCAAAACAAAATACTTTGTTAGATATTATTTGTGATATTCTTTAAGAAATAAAACTGACATAAAATTTATATTTGGAAATGTATTTGTTCACATCAGACAAACACTTCCACAATCACTTCCAATCCTATCAGAAAATTCTCCAAAATGATAGAAGCGAAATTTGACCTGAGACGTTCTTAGTGAATGACGAGGTTTCAGTGTGAAAAGAGTGTTGTCACTGGTTAACCTCTCCTACAGGTGATTCAAACTACACAATCAGCATAAATCGAAATTGAACCTAATAATGGTTAGGGATGGATCTACTGGTAGGGCAATAACTTTCAAACACTACCAGAAAATTCTCCAATACGATTGAAGCGAAAGTTGACCCTCGTCCTTCTCAGTGAATGACGAGGTTTCAATATGAAGGAGTGTTGTCACTGGTTAACCTCTACCACAAGTGACTCAAACTACACAATTAGCATAAACCGAAATTGAGCCTAATAATGGTTAGGCCATAACCTTCTATAAAAAATTTCATCAATCAGTAAACATCCACACAATCTACTAGTACCACCATCACTTCCAACCTTATCAGTAAATTCTCCGAAACGATTGAAGCGAAAGTTGACCTGAGACGTTCTTGGTGAATGACGAGGTTTCAGTGTGATGGAGTGTTGTCGCTGGTCAACCTCTCCAACAAGTGACTCAAACAACATCAGCATAAATCGAAATTGAACCTAATGGTCATAACCTGGTTAACTATAAAAAATTCCTTAAATCACTAAGAATCCACAACAATCTACAAGGACGGCAATCACTTCCAACACTACCAGAAAATGAAACTGACTTGAACAAAATGGCGGATATAGGAGACCACTTTTCGGAGAGAGAGAGAGAGAATCAACCTGTTGAATCTTTTGACCAACCGACAATAGTGCAGACCTCGCTGAGAAAGCAGCAATAAAAACAAAAAATATACGCTCATATATATTTATCATCGGCAGGGGTTTTCTTTTATAACCTTACATGGTATTTTGAAACCGCAAAAAACTGAAATGAAAACATTTTATTGTGAAATGTCACTGTTCAATTTAATAGAGGGTACAATTATTACACACTTTTTAACAATAATAAAGCTATGTGTATGGTTTTAAACATTTTATTTTCAACAAATGTGCAAGAATTGTTTGAGATTAAGGTATCAGCAGTGAAAAGTCAGCAAAACAATAGTTGTTTATTTTTTACATTGCATAGATAATTAGTAGTATAGTAATAAATGGAATATGAGCTGATGAACAATTTGAAGATTTTCATCTCCTTGGCCTAGGGACGTCTCTTCATGATTTTGTCAGTATGATCACCCTGCCCCTGCCCCTGCACCACTCCTCCCGCCAAACTTCATTCCAACATTGCCTGCATACAAAAAAAAGTTTGTGGTAAAAATCTGTGTTGGTATTTCTTGTTTTCGCGAGTACTTGATTTGTATTTGAGTAAATGTATGTAATACAATTTGGCTACGATTTATCCTTGGATCCCTGGTAATATTTGTGGTAGTAAATATTACTTACACACGCATATGGAATGAAGATGAGTTACAGCAAGCTGGGCAAAATATACCATGAATGGCAAACTAAATTAAACACTCAAATTAGAACATCAAACGAACTCATTTTCTATTGGCAAAGTTAAAAATGTGAACAAAATTATTGTTAAATTAGACAACGATCATCAAACCTAAGAACCAAGTACTTCCCAACCATATGGAAATGCCCCTCCATAATCATGATCTAAAAAACAACAAACCACGTCTCTTCCTATCGTTCTAAGAAAAATCCTTGAAAAACTACTGATACAGAGTCTTTATATAATACTTGATTCTGTAGAGAAAAAGTAAGTTATTAGCAAGAATGGAGTGTGTTCGACCCCGAGGAATATCGAGTACACTAGGATAGTAAATGACCAGACTTTTATGCTTGTGATGATGTGTATGAATTTTTTGTCCACCACCTCGCCTTACCATAGGGTTACGGTAAGCTTCGGATGTCGAAAACATTTCCCAAAATTTTTGTCACTATGTTCGTCGTCTCAGAGAGCTTACAGACAGCATTTTGAGTTGAAAGTCCTTTGCTTGCTATATATTTTACTACTGGTGCCTAGTATTAGTATTGTGCCTAATATCTAGAATATAAGCTTTTTCGATAAAGAGCAAGCAGCAGATCCGTCTATACTCTGGTTTTCGTGCTTTTATATATGGTTCAGCAACATTTCAATGTGGATTTTTTCCGCTAGTAGTTAGTAGGCGGGTATTAAGAAATGAAAAGGTGGGCGGGGAAGATTGGTGCAATTTTAATTAACATTTATCTTCAATCAAGTTATAACCTTTTGCTTTTATTTCGTCTGCTGACCATGGAGAACTGTTCTAGTCAGGAGGGGGTTTCCTTGGGGGTATACGGTGACTACAATTTATGTACTTTACTAGGAAGTCAAGTTCAGTCTGATCTTCGTTCTGTGCCTTATTAAAATCTGTCACTGAATCTCTTTATCAGCGAAAATACATGTTAAATGTACTTATAAATTTACTCTGAGAAGTCCGAATGTCTGCTGGTATTCCTTCAGATCGGGGAGTTCTGTCACGAACTTAACAGGATTGTCTTGTCAGAAATGATCTTTGTAAATAAATTGTGAAATTTTTTTCAGCTTGAACGCCAAAGCCCCAGACATTTTCGGATGCTTACTGGAGATTAAGAAAAGCTTTATGGGGCTATGAATCTCGACTATTTATTCGAACAACCTCCATACTCGTACTAGGTGGGATTTTTAGTGTCTAGAACGCGAATTAAAATTTAGGGAATAGTTATATAATAATTATCTCAATTTGTTTTTAAATCATTTTCAGACAGTTTGTTTATGGCAGGAAAGCTGATTGGCCAATGATTTTATTTTTTTTTTTTCGGCTTTGCCCCGATTACATCTGATTTTTGCATTCTTTAGCAAAATATTTAAAGCGAAGGCAGCTTTGTTGGCTATTTTTATTAGTGTTTTGTTTGGAAGTTTTCATCCCTAACAATATGAATACTTGTTCAACTGAGAAGTGTGGATTTTCCATGGCCCCTTGATACAGAGTGTCCCTTGAATAGACGTCAATACTTCAGGGGGTTACTCCACTGGTCAAATGGGACTCAAAAGTCCCTATTGTCCGTAGTCTGATTCTCAATTGTATTGGAGATATTTCACTTTTCATGCTAGGTCAACCTTTCACAACTTTTTCCCATAAAGCCCCTGTATCTCATAAAATATTAATCCTGTAAATTTGATTACATCAATGGAAAGATCATTAAAATTAATTTGTTTTTTCATTGCAACCTTAAAGCAAACAAAATGTAAAATAAGTTAGAACGTAAACTTTTACAAGTTTCCAAAGTTCATGACTAAAGTTTAAATAATATTTACTTGGTTCTGAAATTACTGACAGATATGGTGCTTACAGAAATGTAGCCCCTACTAACAAGCTATACACACATGTACTTAACATATCAAAGGTCAGTTTATGAGATACAGGTGTTTTATAAGAAAATTGTGAAAGGTTGAAATAATCAAAAACTTAATTACATATCTGGAATATAATTGAGAAACAAATTATAGATAAACACTTTTTAGTCCGATTTGACATGTTGAATAATCACCTGAAGGTGTCTGTTCACGGGGCACCCTGTATATAATGAGGTTATCATCAAATTATTAATCTAAAGTTAAGTGTTTGGTTTTTTACTTATATGATACTTACTTTGGTATTTATTGAACAATTTATTAGAAATTATGTATACTGATTTATATCTCTGCTCTAAAATTAAAGTTTATCACCTTTGGAATTGGTGGAACATTCCTTTACCAAAACTGAATCGACATACTCACCCTGCCTTAATTATTTCTTCTCAATAAGTTATTGTCTCAGAATATATTTTAAGGCTGTTCTAAATTCATTCTATATATTTTTTTCTGTTCTTTTTTTCCCTTTTTTTAATGTAAGACTTTGTTTGTTGCGTTGTGTGAAATTACAACTTTCTTTTTATTTTGCAAAAGCACTTGATTCAACTTAATGCTGTGTGATTATCATGTCAACCCAATGTTCGTAGAAATTGAGCAAATAAATTTACTGTTTGATTTATTTAGATTCAAATCAAGTTTTTTTTATGATTTATTTATATTGCGTAAATTACCCCCTGCATTCCCTCCTGCTCTGCTTCCCATTCCGCTTCCTGCACCGGCGCCTCCACCAAATCCGACTCCTCCAGATGCACCTCCACCTGCTCCTGTTCTGCTTGCAGCGCTCGCGATATGTCCTGTCAAAATCAACTGTAAGACTGAATTTGAAATTTAAAAAAAGAAACGTACCTATTTCAGAAAGTAATCTTTCAGGATGCAGCGATATTGTTAAAGCATCAGTCAAGATGCAAAGCTAAAAACAAATTATAGAATACATATTAATAGTAAAGTAATAAATGGTAACAACAATCAAGAAAGAAAACGCACAGATATAACTAAAACAACCACTGTTTTCATTGCTAGTCCTTCAGAAAAAATCATTTATCCTTGTCCTGCTTTATATTATATATAGTTTTGTGTGTGCATGTTTCATGTGCAGTCATGCCTTTCATCTCTTTATTTATCAATTAGGCAATCTTAGATCAAAGTTGGATTATATTTCCATTTCATTTTTCCTTATTGTTAAATGACAATGCTGATACAGAGATAAAACCTTGTGACTTAATTTCATTAAAAACAATTGCGCTGTTCGCAATATCCGCCCTCCTGAATAATCTGCATTTATCACGACCTTCAGGATATCAATAACTATGATTTGTTCTGCAGGGAGCAAAGGACATGCTAACACCTGGGTGGCATGAGAAGAGGAGTTAAGAGAACTGCCTCTTGGAGAAAAATAATTGACATTTTACTTCAAGATTAGCAAAAAGGATATGCAATGCAGAAATTTAAAAAGAATCGATATAAGGTGGTGATAATCATTTGTGAGGTAATAAATAAATCCCTGCACTATCATAATTGTGGTCCTGAAAAGATACAGAACTTCTCTTCAGGAAGTCAATAGATTGAACCAAAAAAATTATTGGCACTTAATCGCATCACATAGTATCTTCAACTGCAAGTTTGTCTGCTTAGGAAAGGTGGATGTGGATCTAATAGTATGAGGAAGTCAGAGTTTGTCATTATTTCCAAACTAGTGACTTCACCATCCATCAAACAGTTCTAAACATGAATAAGGGGCTGACAGAAAGAAAAATTCTACGTCTAAAAATTCATCACAACAGTCCTACAATGGACATGAAACTGTGCCCATGGCTGGCAGACTGCTCATAACTGGCCAACCCTTCTAGTAAATGGATGAATTTATCTGCCTTACAGGAGAGGATATAAGTTTTTAGGTCTTTGGATGTGAGAAGGTTTAGCAGCATCCCATAGTTCTAATCCGTATGACCAAATCAGTTTTGTTAGTGTCTTGTAAAGTATTAGTTTGTTTTTGTTGGTGCATGTGATGTTCTTAATAATAATTTACATAGTATTCTGAAGCATCTGTCTTTTAGTTCGTGTATGTTGGTCCCGGTTAGACTTGAGTGGAGACAGAACCTAACGTGAACAGTCAGTTTTTAGGATAGGAGTATTATTGAGGAATATTGTATGATGGGTTTTGTTTTGAAGAGTAAAAGAAATACGGGTATATTTGCTTTCATTTATCTTAAGAGCCAGAACTTGCTCCTTCCCCTAGTTGCAACATATGTGTCAAGAGCACCTCCTAAGCAATTGTGGAGAATCAGAGTATAGCACAGCTGTGTCATCAGCAAAAAAGATAGGAGAGTACAGAGTATAGTCGGGATATCTGAGGTGTAGATGAGATACAAGAATGGTCTGAGCACACTGCCTTGTGATACTCCCATTCCTGAGGTACAAGATTTAGAAGGGCATATTTTAGTTTGTGTAAAAGATCCTCATGCAACATGTGAACAAATGCTTGTGACACACACGTGAAATCCATATCCACAATGTGAAACAGTGTTAGTTGTAGAATGTTGATGACAAACACCGAACTGGTGATCTGGCAGAAGATTGAAGGGAGTTTAGTGTTGGGATCAATCAGCTGATTAGTTTATTTATTTTATTTATTTATTTAAGGATCGAAATCCACTATAAAAAAGACATTTTACAATAACAAAAAATATAAATAATATATGTAAAAATACAAATAATATATATAAAAAGAATAAGGA